TGGTTTCAATATTAGAAATTTTTGTGTAACTTTAAAATATATTTTCATTTTTATTTATAAAGTTTAAAGCTTTAAAAATAGTGCAGATCGAGTAGATCTATGAAACTTGAAGATCTTGAAAATTGACGGTCCAAAAATGCAATACAAAATACACTATTTCCAAAACTTGAAATCCATATTTTTCTCATGTCTGTGCATCTTGATGCCGAGATGATCAATTCAAGGATATTTGGGCATCAAAACAACTTTTTTTAGTGAAATTTTGGGGTAGGCTCTAATTTGATTGTTTAGAGCCTTGGCTCTAGATAAACTTTTCCATATATATATACATTTTTTTTTTTTGGGAGATTCCGGTCCAATTCGGTCCAGGTTTATAATATTTAAGTAATACATGCATGTATTTAACTTATATTAAATAATAAGTTAAATATATATATTTTTTATTTTTGGGTCGGGTCCAATAACTTTGGGTCAGTTGGGTCCGGGTGCCCAGACCCGATCCGAACTGTTGCCACGGCCACCTTTAGAGTTCAGGACAAGCCCATTTCTTAAATACGCTCCAAATAAAAGGTGATTCAGGAAAATTTGGTCCTGGCAACATAACGGACCACCAAGTCTTATTTCCTAGGGTTGTACCTGTTGTATATGCTTGCATTTCAAGCAGTTTGCATTTTATTTTGGAGGGACTTTTAATTGAGGAACAACAAACCTCAGCGGTTCTGTTTTGAAATGGGATGGCCCGAGAACCCTCTACAAAATGTTTCAACATAAATGCTATCATAGTGTACTTTTCCTATTGTTTTTAGATATGGACAAAGTTTATATAAGGGTGAGGACCTAAAGGCTCACGTCCAAAATTTATTAGAAAATGTTGTTTCGATAATAAAAAATCCTCAAATCGAGCATCTAGATCTCAAGATATATCAAGATAAGGAAAAAGTGGATTTCAGGTCTTGGAAATAGTGAATCATGTAATACATTTTCTGGACCGTCAATTTCCAAGATTTTCAAGCATTTATAGATTTGCTCGATCAACACTAATTTTTAAGCTTTAATTTTTATAATTAGATGTGAAAATAATTTTTTAGGCCAGTACAAAGATTTATAGTATTGAAACATCTTTCGAAACTATTTGAAGGTATGCCTTTTTTTTGAGTGTTTAGGGCCTCAGCTTTATACAAACCAGATATAGTTTTTGGAAAAGTCTATGATAATACCCGTAGTGTACTGTTCCTTTTGGTGCCCGTAGCATCAGCTATGAGCCATCTTGATAGCAGATGGTTGATGTCACAGATGGTCCTGGTATCCATACCATACGTATGGTACCTATACAGATGGTGCTGGTATTCATAGAAGGAATGTAGAAATGCAGCTCTTAAATATGATGGTATTTATAGGACAGTTTTTATGACTCAAATGTAGAAACGCGTTCCCTCTTAATAATCCATTATTAAAATGGATTTGGTCCTAATTTTTAAGGAATATATAATCTCTAAAGACAATTATTATGAAAACAAAATGAATATTAAAATTTAAAGAAATATTTAGACTATTGATTTCAGATTTTTTTTAGAAGACCGCTATTGACATCCATCTTTGGGATGGATAGTTTTTGCCTCGGGCGACAAAAAAATGTAGGAATACGAATATGATACTTTTCCTTCTTAAAAATTCACAGTTTTCTCATAATGTTTTTTTCTATTCTGACAAACTTTTCTTCTCCATTATTGATTCGGTTTGTCCGTTTAACTAGGTTATTATTTTTCTATTGCTCTGTTTATTTATGTGTTTCTTATCCTTCAAGCTCCTTGCTTTAATCTATTTCATTTTTTATTTCTTTATCAGCAAATGGGAAGAAGCGTATGCATTGTTAATTTTTGGCTCTCTCTCTCTCTCCCTCTCTCTCAACTATGTTTATTTCTTTAATAATCCATTTTATTTCTTCTTTATTTCTTTAATAATGTATACGTTGTTTATTTCTTTAATAATCCATTTTTTTTCTTTAATAATCCATTTTATTTCTTTAAGAAAATGGGAAGAAGCGTATACATTGTTTATTTCTTTAATAATCCATTTTATTTCTTTATCATTCTTTGAAGCATGAGCATTATTCATGTGGTCCTGTCAAGTAGATCCTTTTTTCACACCGTATTATGCTCCGTAAAAGAGCACGGCTCCATTCCTTCCACCAATTGCAAAAGAATATATGTATTTCCTTTTTCTCTTTTTTAAGGAAAAAGTTTATATAAGGTGTCAACCTTATACTATACGAGTAAGGTACATGAAAAAAACCCACTAGAGAATGTTGTTCCTATACTAGAAAGCCCTCAAATAAATCATCTCGACCTTTGTATTGATGGACATGAAAAAAAGGGACTTATAGTTCTAAAAATGGTTCATCTTCTAGCACATTATCTGAACCCATCCATTTTCAAGATTTTCAAGTATTTATAGATTTGCTTGATCTGAACCATTTTTAGAATTTTAAATTTCATAATTAAAGGCAACAATAGATTTTGATGTCATCATAAGGCTTTCTAGCAACCGAAACTGCATTTTCAACATATTTTTGAGGTGCACCTTGTTTCAATAGTATAAAGTTGCCGCATTATACAAACCTCACCCCTTTTTTAAAGCATTCTTTATCATATTTCCATGCTAAAATTCAAAGTAGAACACTTTGAGAAGAATAAGAGTTCCAAACCACCGGCTAAGAGGGTGATCCGTACTAAATCTATCAAAGGCACTATGTCAAGTTTTATGTGTATTTTAGTGAAGCTTTATAGAAGGCCCCTGGTTTCAATGGACAGTATTTTAATGTTCCAAGTCTTTAAGACATTTTTAGAACCTACCAGTCTCTCCACCTTATCAAAATGACGAAACTAGGTTTGATTTTTAATGTGTAGCCCACATTTTCCTTCATTCTTTATTAGGAAATATTGAATTAACTTTTCTATAAATATTCTAGTGTGGTGCATTGATGGACTTGATGTGAGATAGGAAATTGTAAGAGACATGGTTAGGGTGGTATTTTTAATTCCATTCCTACTACGGGTCGGGACTCTTTCTCTGCTGAACTACCCACAAAATAAAAAAAGAATAAACAACATATTTTGTTGCCAAATTGGTGATGTGATGCCGCAGGCCTTAAAAATGGATGCTATCGCATTGGCCTATCCCTTTGGTCATCGAGATTCTCTTCGAAAAAGGGGCATGGTTAGCTTGTTCGGCTTTTCTGGGATTTTAGATTCTTAACCGCTCTTAGCCAAATTGATATGTCTACCACCAAGCCGAAGCCTAAGAAACGTTATATAAATTTATTAGTTATATATTTGTTGTCAGAGATGTATATGTGCATCCTAGACAGGATGGGTGCATGAGAGAGAGAGAGTTCCCATCATTGATGAGATTAGATAAAGGGTGTGGTTTGTATAAGGCTGAGGCCCTAAACAATTAAAGTTAGGCGCATCTTGAAATGGTGTCAAAAATATTATTTCAATACTAGAAATCTTTGTGATGGTCCGTAAATTTATTTTTATCTCAAGTTATAAAACTTAAACCTTAAAAATAATGTATCAAGCAGATATTTAAACAATTGATAATCTTTATTATTTGACGGTCTAAAAAATGCATTACAAGATGCACTATTTCTAAGACTTAAAATCCATTTGTTCTCATGTTCATATATTTTGAGGTTGAGATGATCAGTTTAAAGATTTTTTGGGTAGGTAACCTTTTCTTGTAAATTTTTGATGTACGCATTAATTTGATTGTTCAGGGCCTCACCCTTGCATAAATTTGTTTCCTTTGATAAAATCCTCATGATTTGACCCTTACTGCTCATGACAAGAACTTGGTGGAAAAATATTCTTGACAACTACCAAATCTTTCCCTCACATGTGTCTCACGAATTGCATACTAATAAAATAAGGGTGCGGTTTGTATAGAGCCTAGGCTATAAACAATCATATTAGAGCCTACCTTCAAATAGTATCGAGAAATATGGTTTCAATACCGGAAATATTTTTCAAAGCCTTAAAATATATTTTCAGTTTTATTTATAAAGTTTAAAGCTTAACGAATAATGTAGATCGAGAGATCTATGAACACTTGAAAATCTTGAAAATTTACGGTCCAAAAATGCATTACAAATGCACTATTTCCAAAACTTGAAATGTATTTTTTTTTTCTCATGTCCATGCATCTTGATATCAATTTGAGGATATTTGGGTATCAAAACAACCTCTTTTTGTGAAATTTTTCAAGTAGGCTCTAATATGATTGTTTAGAGCCTTGACTTTATATAAACTTTTCCCATAAAAAAATAATAGACTGATTTCCTTGGGAAGTGGAATTGGGTCAAGAATGATGAAACATGCAATGTATGGAAGGCCTGCCTTCCCCACCTAATTCTCCCAAACACAATTGTTTCTTTCTATTTTTAAATGGAGATTTGCCAAGGAATAAGAGACCCCCATGTCTGAACATAGGGTTTGAGATAAGTTTCCATGGGACAAAAGTAGCTAAGCTTTGGATCTCTCTCTCTTCTTTTACTTTGGCATTTGCCTCATCTTTCAACCTCTACTTTTGTCAAAGTAAGAGTTTTCTATCTCTAAGAAGATACGCCTAGATATCAACAAATTATAATAAAATCCCAACTACCATGGAAAAACTCTCTTTGTTGATTTGTCCTACTTGACCATATTACTTTAGTAGTTAGGGTCTTCACAGATCAAGATCATTGCTTTTAGTTGTTTTCTCTTATGTATGTTTCTAGGCATTTGCATTCAAGCGGTTTTGAAACCCTTGTGCAATGTGCATATGCTTGTGATATATTGTTTTACTATTTTCTTCCATTTTTCACAAGATTCCACTCCACTATGACCCTTGTGATTGGTGCGTCATAGGCAAGCAAAATAGTTTATTGATTAAAGGAAAATGGTTTGATAGGGCTGCAGCCTTTTCAAAAAAATAAAATAAAATAAAGCCTCATTTCATAATTCATCGAAAATTACAACTCAAGCATTGGAAGACCTTTATATAGATAATCTCATAAAGCTTGAGCATTATGATCGTGAACAAAAATTAGGATTTCAAGCTCTAAAAATAGTATATATTATATAAATTATTTAGACAATCCATATCGCCCTAAAAATTACTGTTCATAGATCTGCAAGATCCGTACAATATTTTGAATTTCAAATTTCATTGTCAGCATTGGATATTGATTTTAGAGCCATCATAGAGATTTTTGTGCCCAAAAATACTTTCCGGATGAAGATTTGTAGGGAGGCTTTATTTTGTTTTCATAATGCCTAGGCCCTATAGAAACTTCATCCTTATTAAACCATGGTTAAGTTGAATAATTGAAGACTCTCAGATGGGGTGTGGGAATGGGGAAGGAAAGAGGGATCCATATGTTCTTTTTTACTTTAATCCTCTCTCTCTCATAAGAACTATTTTTAAAATGTCAAAGTGTTCATCATTCATGTCTCATAAACAATAATAGATTTGGGGATTGCTTCTTTGTTAAATTGATAGAATCCCCTTGATGGGGGGAAGCAAAGAAGGCGTATCTATTAAAGTAGGGCAAGTGTCCTTCCCATAGGGCATTGTGAGCAATAATTAATTTTGGAATAGAAATCCTCTTCTCATTTTGGGTCCTTTTGTTTATTGCTTTGAGTTGAAATCCCAGGTTTTTGCCTATTCAGGCTACTATATAAATGGCAAACAATTCCATTGGTCTTTATCTCTCATTCATCTCCTCCCTTTTCAAGAAGTCATGGTGGGAGATATGGGAGACTGGAAAGCTGCCTCAAATCTAGCTCATGTGGATAGGGTACAAGATATATGCCTGAAAAGGAAGTTAGAGGATAAGAAGGTCAGATTGTTTGGTTTTGAGGTGGATTCCTATGTTCCAAAGGAGGAGCAAGATATCAATGCCTGCTTCAAAAGATCCAAGGGAATTGAGACTTGCCAAACAGTTGAAGTAGGAGACGATCAATCATCAAGTAACATCTTGGAACAAAATGAGAGGCTAGATGAGGCGAGATCCGGGTCGAATGAGAGGGAGGACAAGAAATACGAGTGTCAATATTGTTTCAGAGAGTTTGCTAATTCTCAAGCTTTAGGTGGTCATCAAAATGCACACAAGAAGGAGAGGCAAAAGAACAAGAGATTGCAGCAGCTTCAAGCTAGGCGAAATACTCTGAATTGTTTCCTTGAGCCTTACCAGAGTTATGGCTCTAGCTATCATTCCAGCATGCCATGGTTCTATGATGCTTACTATGCACCTGGTTTTACCATCATTGGAGAGAAACCTTCGACTCCGATACTTTTAGAAAGTTCCGTTGATTACATGGCTCTTGATCAAAATTTCAAGGGATTTCACTTTTCAAGTTCATTGACACCGAACGAGTCTCCTGCGCATGACTTGTGTAAGTCTAGGCTGGTGCAGAGCACAGACTCTAGAGAATGCCCCGAAACTAGGCCTCTTGTCATTAAGCCTAGCCCTTCTTCAATTAAAAAGCGAGTCCTCGGAAGTTTGGATCTTCAATTGGGGCTAACCATGCATTAGCCTTTCTGTTAGTAGTACATTTTTTATGATTTTGTAATTTGTTAATGATTTATATGTTTTATGTGGATTGAGCTTTCCCTCCCTCGACTAAACTTGCATTTCAGGTTTCTTAGTTCCTTGTAGGGTGAATTAGCTGTTAGGGGTTATGACACAAGGGCCACAGCACTGTGGTTCATGGCTTGCCCTGATCAAAAGCCCTGTTAACTGTTTAAAGCCAATTAGGATTGTCTGTCCACTCTCCAATCTTCATTATAACTGTACGACAGAACATAAATTTGTTCAACGATAGATTGAGGTTTCCGTCGACTAAACTTGCATTTCATGTTTCTTAGTTCCTTGTATGGTGAATTAGCTGTTAGGGGTTATGACACAAGGGCCACAGCACTGTGGTTCATGGCTTGCCCTGATCAAAAGCTGTGTTAACTGTTTAAAGCCAATTAGGATTGTCTGTCCACTCTCCAAACTTCATTATAACTGTATGACAGAACATGAATTTGTTCAACGATATGAGGTTCTATCTTTAAAATCTTTGTGGAAAAAGGTCAACTCTGCCTTGCAAAGGGAATGTACAGAAATTGGCTTTCAAAAATTATGCCAGGCCTTCTTCCATTTTTTCCTCTGATCCACATTTTTCTTGTTATTTTTTTGTCTTAGAATTCAGATGAGAAAAAAAAACAAGGATAATTATCATAGGTATGAATAACTTGATTTTGAAGGAAGGCTCAATTATATAAATAAAGATTAAAACGAAAATGGAATAGTTAAAATTACTACACATGAATAAATTCTAGAACAATTTTTGCAGTACTAATTTCTCAAGTAAGCTACATCGTAGGAATTGGCTTATTTTGTCACAAATTTAATGTGTATTTTCATCTGCATTGCATTTATTTACATTAAGATTCCCAATAGGATTGTTTTCTTAATAGTCACTTGACATTTGAACAATTACATGGGTTTTATAATAATTCCCTTTCTTTTGCATTGGTACTTGCCTTGCAACCTGCCAAGGCCGAGTAACTCGATTGAGAAAAAGGATACTTGACAGGACCTGACCTGCCGGGTCCAAAACATAGACTTGGAACCAGACCCCGGACCTGTCTCATGTTGTCTACCAGACCTAGTTACCACCCCTAACTATAGTTTGGACTAATGTCGTCCTACCATGGGTAACGTACTAATCCAGCACCAATCATCTAATGACTGCTAAAGCAATAGTTTCAATTGTAGCACAAATTCTCTCTCCAGCCCAAATATAGCTATAAGCCTATCTTATCAACTAACAATTATTCAGTAAAATGAAAAGTAAGAAATTATCCACCATATAAGCTAACCAAGATGAGGTAGTAGTAGTAATTCAAGTGGTGTTTAATGTGGAGGATGACCCTATCAGATTAAATTAAGCATTACCATTGCTTGATATTGTAGTTTGCATAGAAGCCATAACAGTAAAGTACATTCGGTTTTTGGCTAATAAACCTTGAAAACTAGTTGATTTATCACCTGGTTCTAAATTAATAGGATGTAATTAAATATTTAAAAGAAAACTAATGTCAATCGTCCATTAATGAGAGTAAGCGCAGGTCATTGGAAAAAGGGTGTAGTTTGCATACATCCGTAGGTGTAGAGGTAAGGTGCACATTCACATTTTATCATGGTATATAATTTAAAATCAAGTAGATCAAGTAGATAATCTATAAACATATGAAAATCTTGATAATGGACGGTGTAGATAATATGTTGTAAAATGCACTATATTTGAGATTTAAAATCTTTTTATTTTTCATAATCATACAGCTCAATGTCTAGATGATCAATCAAATTTTCAACATTAAAACTACCTTTTCCGATGGATTTTTGAGGGGGCATCCGTAGTTTTACATTATGAGGTAGCATCCTTATATGAACTGTTTCCTTGGAAAAAAGATACAAATAAATAGAACGTGTCTAGTGTTTTAACATATATGCTCTTGTCGTTAGGACATATACTATACCATAACTACTCATATTGTCTCAAGTAACTATCCAGCTATTCACCAAATAAATGTAAAATTGCATTACTCAATGGTGATTTAGATGTAAAAATTTATATGATGTCTAGACATAAAGATAAGATTTGTAAATTATTTAAATCCCGTAAAGCACGTATCCCAGCTATATAATAGTAAATTTGACAAAGTATTGTTGTCAAATGGGCTTTAAAAGATGTTTACGATCCTTCAGATCCGTACTACAAACTGATTTTAAAAGTAATAGAAAGTAGGGAAAATCAAAATTTGATATTAGGCTAGATCGATTAAAAAATGAATAGATCTGCTCTCAGATCAGTGGCAAAGCCAGCATCGATCCAAAAAGCACGAAAGATTGAATAAAAATTAAAAATAAAATCATAAATCTAACAAAATAAATGAAAAATAAGAGAAAAAGAAATGCTGAGGAAAATACATGGCCGGCCCAGTTGGCCCGGGGCACCCGAGGCACCCGAGGCTTCGAGACCTCGCCCGTATCAAAACCACAGTCTTGTACGTATGTCATGTGTTGTTCTCTCTACAAACTTTACCAAACCTTGGCTTGGTTGAACTAGAGTTTTTATTGATTTGGGTTAAAAGTTGGTTTCAGGGGGGGTTAGGGCTTAAGGTTGCTTCTCTAGATCTAGGGTGCTCTCTGGCTCTCTCTATTTCTCAGATTTCTTGGCCTACGGGTTCACAAAGTCCAACCCTAAATGGGCTGCAAAATGTGCTTATATAAAGATTCAAATTGTATCAGAATGGACATGTATCAATTTCAAGCAGATTTGCTAGCCAAATTTCTATTTTGCAGGATTATGGATCACAAGATAGGGATTACGGACTATAATGGTCTATGGTCTAGGGGCTTACTGGGATATTGTGGTCCTAAGGTTGTCTAGAGTTTAGAAAAGCCATTGAATTTACCAATTTTTCAAAATGGGGTGTTTATGAAAGAAATAAGTCAGGTAAGTATGTGTAAAATACAAATATGTATTTGGTATTCACTATTATATTTCTCTATGGTAATGGTGCTTATAGTTATCATAACTAGTGCAACAGTAAAGTTCTCTCATATAAATGTAAAGGACTTAGGTGGGGCTCATGTGATAGAGAAACTCTTTTCACTTTTTGTATTTATGGATCAAATGAGCGAGAATGCCTAGGTAACACTCACAGCATGTGACGTGCCACATGCACAAGGGCATTCAAGACAAAGGTAGCATAGGGGTTGGGTCGACCTACCGATCAGTCAGGCCGGCCCAACCCAGATTGGGGTTAAGGTCGAACCGAAGCTGATCAGACCTGTTTAGTCCTAGCTTAAGGTGTATTTCACATCCTCGTACTTGCAGATGAGAAGCCCTTAGCCTTCGCTCACGCTTCACACATTTTTTGACCGTGTGATATTTTTGCCAAACAAGAGGGCCAAATGGTCCAAAAGGTACAATTGTTGGTTTTTATACTAAATAATTCAATACAAATCTATGTGATTATTTAGCACTCAAAATTCGTTAGTGGTTAAGACAGCTAATGGTCAGAATATTTTATTTTATTTTTTAAAAGGGCGTCTCTACCCTCTCTATGAAAAAGTATCAAACCTTTAATTCTGAGTCACTATGGTTATACATTTGTACTCTCTCTTGATTTTAAGTACGTTTGAAGCTACAATATTTCATCCCCTAAGCTATCATGAGGTTTTTAACACCAGAACTACATTTCCAAAAAAAAATTACTAAGTGCACCTTACTTCTATAATATATAGAGTGTGCCTAATGTAAATCTCACCCTTACTAAAAATGGAATAGGTAATTATGGAAGGAACACAAGAGGCCTTCATTTCGTGTGACTGTAAAGGCTCGGGTAGCTAGTACAAGTGTGCGGGTTCGAATCCTAAGAGCGGCCACTTTGTGCATAAGCCAAAGGCTATGACCATTTCCAGCCCACCCCTCCTGGGGCCTTGCTTAGGCGGGACTAGCACCGGGTTACGGCCCTTTTTAATTATGGAAGAAACACAGAAAAAGGGAATACAATTTATAAAGAAAGGGGTAAACATATAAGGGATTGTATGCTACGATACTATTTACTTTTGGCACAAAGATGTCACAATTACTAGATAAAAGGAGAAATAAAAGATAAAATTGAAGAGTACCTCTAATATATTTACTTTTTCCTTTCTTTGCATAATTGACAATTTACACTATTTTCATCATGACTATTATGTTGAAAATATCAGTTAGTGTATGAAGTGTATCTTACAACCCTAGTTGTTACCTTGATCCAGGCCTAAGGGCTGTTAAATTCATTATAATTGCCAGTTTTAAAACCTTTCTTTAGGGTATTGTAAATTGTTAAGTGGCAATTGAAATTTTCGTGGGGTCCACAGGTGTGGTTCATATAAGGTATCAATGTAAATAGTTAAAGCATAAACTTTTATGTAGTTTCATGCCATAAACTTTTATAATGAGCTAAAAATCTCTTTTAACCCCTAATTATGAAGTTTAAAGCTTAAAAAATAGTGCAGATCAAGTAGAGCCATAAATACTTAAAAATTTTAAAAATAAAGTATCTAGATAATGTGTTACAAGATGACACTCTTTTTAGAACTTGGGATGCATTTTGTTTATATCCATACATCTCGAAGTTGAGATGATCAATTAGAAGGTTTTCCAACGTTAGGACAACCACTTTTTTTTTTTTACAAGAACGTCAAAACAACCTTTTTGAGTGGATTTTTGAGGTACACCTTACTTCTCTAGTATAAAGTTGACACATTATGTGATCATAATGTAATATCATGAGCATGAGGTCATCATAGTCCCATCAACAAATTGGATGGTAGAAGGAGATGAAATGGACGAGAAGAGACCGATGAGAAGGAGATGAAATGGTAAAAGCTTTGAAGGATGGTGAGCATGGTGTTTCAGGTGGGTTGGGGATTTTTGGTGACCATCCGTTGGTTAAGTTGGACAAATGTGAAAGGGAGAAACTCAATATCAAGCCCGAGTTTCTTGTGACATGTTCTTTTTCTCTTTCTATTTCTGATTTTTTTTGTTTATCTGATTGGGCTAAGAAGGATCGAATATCTCATGTTGTAAAGGTAATTGGAATGAATAAAGTGGTTTTTAAGCTGAGATCTGAGGAAGAAGTAGGAAGAGCGCTTTTTGTTGAATTCGTGGTTGCCTCCTCTCTGTGGATGTTTGGAAGCCTAGTGACTATAGTTCGTTCGTGCAAAAGGAGATTATTTGGTTATGCCTGCGTGGAGTGAGTTCCCTTGCTTGAGTGGAACTTAGCAAGTATAAAGAGGATTGTGGGTTCCATTGGCTGCTACCTAGATCTTGATTGGGACTCATTTTTAAATCTAATGTGTTTTGAGGTTCGAGTTAAAAGTTCTATAGCTAGTGGTTTGACCTTACCTGATCAGTTGTGCCTCAATATTGGTGATGATTTCT